TCAAGCTATCCTCTTGCCTCTACCTCCCAAGTAGTTAGGACTAGAGTTACACATCGCCCCACCTGGCTAACTTTTAAAAATTTTTTGTACGTAGAAGATCTCACTGGTCTTGGACTCCTTGGCTTTAAGTGATCCTCCTGCCTTGGCCTACCAAAGTGCTAGGATTTGGAGCCAAGTAACAGCATTTTAAACTAGACAAAATCTAAGATGTGTTTTTATAATTAGTATTTCCATGGAATTAGTTATTTCTCAAACAAATGAAAAGTGACAGTATACTACAAGGTTTTAGGGCTTTGTAGTAAATTTTAAGGCCTAGGGGATGGAAATTATGATAATTCCTAGAATAACTTGGCTTAATAACATTTCAAGATACCATTGAATTTTCATATATTTGCTAATAAAGAAGGTTCTCAATGGTGTAGATAAGCACTTAGGAAAAAATGGCATGTACTGTTACATACTTTTCCCATCGTCAGATTATTCAGTTCTTGGCCATGTTTTTTAATTTGTCAGTTTCGTTTTTATTTTAATAAAGTCATAAATGCATGTAGTTTGGAGTCTAAGTGCTGTAGGCATGTGTGGAAAGCTGCAGTCCCCAACCACTAACTTATTTTTCATATAACAGGGAAGAAGTCAGGAGAATAAGTAAATTCATCGACTTTTCTCTCTTCCTTCCCTTCATCCTGCTAGTGTTTGTGCTTTTGCACAATCAGAGGTAGAGGGCAAGAGAGCCTGGGGTGTAGTTCCTCAGACCAGCCTCTTAAGCCACAGAAAGCTGGGATCCAGCAGATCTGGAATGACAAAGGATCAAGCCCAGTAGTTTTGATTTCCAAGAGTACTTCTTGGTTGCCTGTATGTTCTTTTTTTTAAATAGCATCCTGTTCCCATATGGTGGATATAATTTCCTTTTTTATTTCTCTCAGAATTTTTTTCTTTCTTCCAGCCTAGGCTCTGTTTTGTTCAAGTTGCTTTTTGTCGGTTCATTTTGGTCTCTGTCTTTCATATTAAGAGACTTTCCTTGGCCTGGCACAGTGGCTCACACCTGTAATCCTAGCACTCCGGGAGACCAAGGTAGGCAGATCCTTGAGTTCAGGAGTTCGAGAGCTCTCTGAGCAAGAGTAAGAACACTGTCTCTGAAAAAAATAGAAAAAATTAGCCAGGCATTATGGTGGATGCCTGTAGGCCCAGCTACTCTGGAGGCTGAGGCAGAAAGATCACTTGAGCTTAAGAGTTTGAGATTGCTGGCAGCTAGGCTATGAGGCCATGGCACTCCAGCCCAGAACAACAAAATGAGTCTCTGTCTAAAAAAAAGAAAGAGAGACACTTTCTTTATTTTAACTGAGGCACCAAAAGTTGATTAAAAATTTTGTGCATGTGGACTGTGCTTGTCATCTGAGATTTTTACTGTAGAATGAGCTAGCTGGTCTGTTTTGTTAGGAGCCCTCGATATCCATCTTATCGATGTTTTTCTTTGAGGCTGGTTGGATTCCCCAGAGAATATTCTCCCCACATCTTGAAGAATAGATGCCTAATTCTAGGGTGGTAAGAAGCCAGGTGAAGGGAAGGATGGAAGGCTGGCACTAAGTCATCCTTCCCCCTCCCTCCACCCGACAGTCTCTCTTGCCCTGGGTAGAGTGATTGCTTCGCAGCTCACAGCAACCTCAGTCAGACTCCTGGGCTCAAATGATCCTCTTGCCTCAGCCTCCCACGTAGCTGGGACTACAGATGAGCACAATACCTGGCTAATTTTTTTTCTTTCTTTCTTTCTTTCTTTTTTTTTTTTTTTAGTAAAGACAGGGTTTCACTCTTGCTCAGGCTGGTCTCAGACTTATGAACACAAGCAGTCCACCTGCCTCAGGATTATAGATGTGAGCCCGCTTGCCCGGCTACATCATCTTTCATTACCCTCCCCTACAGGCATGCCGTAGTACCTGTCCTCAAGTCAGGCAGTCCAGAGAGTCTCTCTTTTACCTTGTCAAGACAATAAATCTCAGCCTTCTGCAGAAGTCTGGGAGAGATGTGTAGTCTATTTCTTTTTTTTTTTTTTTTTTTTTTTTTGAGACAGAGCCTCAAGCTGTCACCCTGGGTAGAGTGCTGTGGCATCACAGCTCACAGCAACCTCCAACTCCTGGGCTCAAGCGAGTCTCCTGCCTGAGCCACCCAAGTAGCTGGGACTACAGGTGCCTGCCACAACGCCTGGCTATTTTTTGGTTGCAGCCATCATTGTTGTTTGGCGGGCCCAGGCTGGATTCGAAGCCACTACCTCAGGTGTATGTGGCTGTGCAGTCTATTTCTAAAACAGTTGTCAGTCACCGCTTCTGCCTTTTGTTGTCCTTCACTCTACTTCAAGACTAATTTGCAGTTCCTGCTCTTGACTTTCACCATAACCAGCATAAGGTTCAGATTTCTTCAGTATGCTAAGTCAATTATCACTTATCTATTTGTTCCTGGCCACTTACTCTCCAGTTCTCTCTCCAGTTCTCTTTGTTTTTCTGAGTTAATGCCTTTACTTTTTTTAAGTGAATAGGTTTTGAGGAGGGAGCAGAGGTTAATGCATACACTCCACCTACCATCTTTAACTAGAAGTTAACATATAATTTTATAAGAAAAGTAAAATACTTTTATTTTAAGTGTTGTTTCTTGATTCCTGATTGTGAATCAGTTGTCTCAGTGACAGGAGTAACCAAGTTCCTTTTCCTGATTGTAAGTCAGTGGTCTCAGTGACAGGAATAACCAAGTTCCTTGAAGCTCATCATAGTCTTGAAGGGTCCAGCCCATCAGTGAATCTATCTGCCTACCCTTTGGGGGAGCTCCAGAGACCATAGCTGAGGCCTCTAGCAAGTCTTGAAGCTAAGAGATGTTGGTAGAGAACCAACAATTTTTTTAATGTGGTTTTTAATGTGATTTTTTTTCTTATTTTTATTTGCTGATTTTCTAAAAATGCACTTGTTTTTGAGTACACATGTTACACTTTGCTTATAGGGGATTGCTCAGGTTTCCTGACAGGCACCTCTAGACCAGGCTTCCTCAAACTACAGCCCGCGGGCCACATGCGACCCGCCTATGACATTTATCCGGCCCGCTGGGTCTTTTTGCCGCCTCTGCTTGTCCTGCTTAGCAGCTGACTCATCCTGGGGCCTGCAGTCCAGCCCTCCAACGGTCTGAGGGACAGTGAATTGGCCCCCTGTTTAAAAAGTTTGAAGACCCCTGCTCTAGACCTGTACCAATACATTGCCCCCCTCCTGTACTTCAAAGGAAACTTTCCTATGAATATATACACATATGCTTCATATCATAATTCATTAAATCACTTAAGAGTTCCTTCCAAGCTGAGAATGAGCAAGAGGGAGACCACATCTCTACTAAAAATAGAAACATTAGCCAGGCTTTGTGGCAGGTGCCTGTAGTTCAAACTACTGAGGAGGCTGAGCCAGGAGGATCGCTTGAGCCTAGGAGTGATAGAGTGAGACTCTTTAAAAAAAAAAAAAGGAGTTCCTAATGAAAAAAAATTAACTGGCCAGAGTTATCATAGTGAAACCTAGGATAACATGCATGCTGTCCTCTCCTGTTGTGTGTCTGTGTAGACACATACACCCGCACACATATACCACACTCAAACATATGCTTGGTTTTTAAATTATGTTTGTTTCTTATAATTCCTCTTGGATTTTTGTGTATTGATTGAGAAATCAGTAAAACCGAACTGATCCTAATATAAACTTATCTTACTCGACTACAAATTGACTATTACATTCACCACACCAGTTTTTCTGTCTTTGAGCTTTTATCTAAATTTTCAATTCATTCATCAGTCCCTATCCTTCCATATAAGTGACTTATACAGGCCATTCACCCTGGGCTCTCTTGCCTTTCTCTAACCTTCTCTTTATTTTCATCTTTCTTTTCTTCCCGTGTCAGAGGAATAATTAAGGCTGTGTCCCCTATACCTACACACAATGGCAAGGAGGACAGCATGTTCAGAAGCCCTGGAAACTTCAAAGAACAAAGTTGTTGGAAAGATAGAGATTTTCATTTGTGGGCAGGTGGGCTTTGGAGTCAGACAGGCCTGGTTTGAATGCCAGTTCTGCTGCTTCCTGCATAAATGACCTTGAGTTAGCTGCTCTCCTTGTACTTCATTTTCCTTATCTATAAAGTGAGTAAGATGACAGCGACCTCAGAGGGTTGTTGGGAGATGAAATAGCATGAAGGAAATGATAGCTCCTGTTGCTGTTGTGCTGTAGTAAAACTATAATAGTTCATCTTTGAATGAGTATTTGTACCTAGAATAAGAATTTGTTTATATTTCTGCCTCTTGCATTAACTATAAACACAAGCCCTAGGAAGTTAGGAACTCTGTCCTCATTTTTGTATTTTAAACAATCTACCCCGTGCCCAACACAGAAACGTTCATTGTGTGTTGGGTGAAGAGTGAAGCCTCAATTTATATCGATTGAATTGCTAAGTAAATTCACTTTTTTTCACTTTCCTCTGGATAATGAAAACCTTCCAAAGATCTTCAGATAACATTGTTAGAAATTTGTTTCCTTCCCGTTCCACTGTTTATAAACACTGGCATTTATTTATTTATTTATTTATTTACCTATTTCTATTTTTTTGAGACGGAGTGCCATGGTGTCATCGTAGCTCACATCAACCTCAAAACTTCTGGGTTCAAGCATTCCTCTTGCCTCAGCCTCGCAGGTAGCTGGGACCACAGGCACCTGCCACAACACCTGGCTAGTTTTTCTATTTTTAGTACAGAGAGAGTCTCTCTCTCTCTTGCTCTGGCTGGTCTCAAACTCTCAAGCTCAAGCAATCCACCTGCCTTGGCCTCCCAGAGTGCTGGGATTACAGGCGTGAGCCACTGGGCCCAGCCTAAATACTGGCTTTTCATATATCACTTTGGTATTATAGGCTTGAGTGGAAGCCTGGGTGTGCTTTCAGCATGTCATTTGTAACAGTTAATTAACTTGGCTCTCTTTTTTTTTTCTTTCCCTCAGGGAGGTGGTACAAGCAAACTGTGTCCGCTGGAGGAAGAAGTTCTCATTCATGTGCAAAATGAGTGCCAGCGCCTCCACAGGCATCCTGGACCCTTGTGTCTGCAGAGTGTCTGTGAGGAAGGTAGAAAAACAGCCTATTACTTTGCCCCTTTCAGAAACAAAACTTAGTTCCATAGTCAGTGACTCACTGTATTTAGCTCCACCTCATCTTTATCACCAGAATGATTAGGACATCTGTAATTGTACTTCACACTTGCAGCAGAACTTTAAATTACCATGGCAAATATGATAAAGAATCTAAAGTTATAAATTGAAATATTATTCAAGAACCTTCATTTCATTTTTATCATACATATAAGTATTAACCTTATTTGTATTAGTTTGGGGACTGTATAGGTCCATATCCTACCATTCATTAAAGCCCTTTTTTTTTTTTTTTTTTAAACGGAGCCTCAAGCTAACCCCCTGGGTAGAGTGCCATGGCATCATGCTCACAGCAACCTCCAACTCCTGGGCTCAAGCGAGTCTCCTGCCTCAGCCTCCCAAGTAGCTGGGACTACAGGCACCCGCCACAACGCCTGGCCATTTTTTGGTTGCAGCCATCATTGTTGTTTGGCGACCCGGGCTGGGGATTCGAACCCACCACCTTAGGTGTATGTGGCTGGCGCCTTAGCTGCCTGAGCCACAGGCGCCAAGCCTAAAGCCCTTTTTTGAGACAGAGTCTCACTCTGTCATCCTGCGTTGAGTGCTTAGTGTCACAGCTCACAGCAACCTCAAACTCTTGGGTTTAAGTGATCCTCTTACCTCAGCCTCCTGAATAGCTGGGACTACAGGCGCCTGCCACAACACCCCACTAGTTTTTCTCTTTTTAGTAGAGACAGGGTCTTGCTCTTGGTCAGGCTCATCTCGAACTCCTGAGCTCAAGCAATCCACCCGCCTCCACCTCCCAGAGTGTTAGGATTATAGGTATGAGCCACTGCACCTGGCCAAAATTCCTAATTTTTGTTACTCATTGCTCCGGGAATGTTATATATATCATACTTAATAACACCTCCAAAATTAGGTATTACTTTCTCCATTTTCAGAAAAACCAGGGCTCAGAGAGGTTAAATTACTTGCCCAAATTTACATAGCTAATAAATGGTGATGTAGGGACTTTGACACAGATTTTTCTCATTCCAAGGCCATGTTTTCAGGTACTATTCTAGGCACTGGGAGGAGAATGGCCAACCAGAATGATGAGTTCCTACCCTCAAGGACTGTACTTGTGGTTAGAGTTGGAGGAGGAGTGGTAGGAAGGACAGATGGTAAATGTAAACATGTAACCAGTAAGGCTAATTCAGATAATGGTATGTCTTAGGCATAAAATACAATGAGGTAATGGAGAATAACTTGGAAAAATGAGATTATTTTAGAAACTGGGGCAGGATTCAGTGAAGACTTCTCTGAAGGGTAACATATGGAGAGGAGGCACCCATATAAAGATCTTGGGAAAGATCATTCTAAAGAAGTAAGATCCCAAATTAAAAAGACCCAGCATTTTACTAGGGCTGCTATAACAAATGCTGCAATACCACATGCTGGGTAGCTTAAAAAGACAGAAATTCATTTTGGCCAGGCACAGTGGCTCACATGCATAATCTTAGCACTTTGGGAGGCTAGGAGTTTGAGACTAGCCTGGGCAATATAGTAAGACCCTATCTCTACCAAAAAAATGTAAAAATTAGCCGGGTATAATGGTGCACACCTGTACTTTCAGCTACTCAGGAGGCTGAGGGAGCAGGATTGCTTGAGCCCGGGAGATGGAGATTGCAGTGAGACCACTTAGGTGGTTGTGATAGTTCAGGGGAGAAATGCTTATGTTTTGTCATAGAGTTATAACCTAGAGATGGTCATTATTTTGTGCAGCCAGATGCCCAACTAAAAATAGAGGGTTCTCTTACTACAGAGAGGAGGAGAATGAACAACTGGGGAACAACTAGGATTCTTTCAGCAAGGGTTGAATAAAGGAGTAGATCCGGAGAAGGAGAGTGAGAAGTAGCCGGTGGGGAAGGATAACCAGTGGGGTAGGATAAAACCAGGCAGCCGTGGCACCGTGGACGTTTAGAGAAGAAAATGATGCAAGAGTGGAGGTGGATGGCCGAGCGTGCCACATGCTGCTGAGAGGTAAAACCAGATGAAGACAGAAAGCCTTCGGCTCTAACAAAATGAAGATCATTGGTAATCTTAAGAGCTATTACAGAGGGAGAATGAGGAGAAAGCCCAATTGTTGTGGGTTGAATAGAGAGTGGGTTACAGTAAATATAGAGGAGTATTTTGAGGATCTTGGCTATAGAGGGAAACAAAAGAATTAACTAAAGGAGACAAGGATCGTCTGGAGAAAGTGTTTTTTTTAGTAGCACTATTAAGGAATATGGCAGTGACCTAATAAAGAAGGAAAATCTGCTAATTCAGATTTTCAATAGATCTAGTGCCTTGGCCGCACCTGATGTCAACGGGGCAGGGAAGGAGGGGGTGGGGAACCTGCAAACTTGAGGCCACATATGGCCTCTTGGCTGAGGCCTTTTGACTGGATCCAAATCTGGATTTGTTCTGTGAAGTTTGGATCCAGTATCTACAGGCTGCACTTGGGAATTTGGAGGGCCATATGTGGCCTTGAGGGCACAGGTTCCCCCCTCAGAATGCATTTTAAGAAGTCGGGGGTGCTCGCTTCAGCAGCACATAAACTAACATTGGAACGAAACAGAGAAGATTAGCATGGCCCCTGTGCAAGGATGACACGCAAATTTATGAAGTGTTCCATATTTTTAATAAAAATAAAAAAGAAGTTGGAGAGTTTGGTCCTGATAATACTGGCAAACACACTCACATGTATACAAACACATACTGTGTGCTGGGCATTGTTCTAAGTGTTTTACACTTAATTCTCACAGCGGTATGATGTCCTAAATCTAGATTTTAGGTTAAAATGTTAAAACATCTGTATATTGTTGGATTTTTTTTTTTGCAGTTTTTGGCCAGGGCTGGGTTTTAACCCACCACCTCCGGCATATGGGGCTAGCACCCTACTCCTTTGAGCCACAGGCACCGCCCAATTGTTTATTATTTTTTACTTTTGCCAGTCATGTTCACATTAGATAAGAGGGTTTGTACTATACTACATGTATGATTTTATGTACATAGAGAATCTTTTGAATAATTAATAAAAACTGGTTGTCTCTAGGATAAGATTTCAACTTTTAATTAAAATCTTCCTATAATGAATTAGTGTAGTTGGCTGGGCACGGTGGCTCATGCCTATAATACCAGCACTTTGGGAGACTAAGGTGGGTGGATCCTTAGAGCCAGGAGTTTGAGACCAGCCTGAGCAAGAATGAGACCTCATCTCTACTAAAAATAGAAAAATTAGCTGAGTATGTGGCAGATGCCTGTAATCCCAACTACTTAGGAGGCTGAGACAAGAGACTCTCTTAAGCCCAAGAGTTTGAGGTTGCTGAGAGCTAGACTGACACCATGGTACTGTCCCCAGGGTGACAGAGTAAAACTCTGTCTCAAAAAAAAAAAAAAAAAATGAGGCTCTGCGCCCATAGCAGTGTTACAGTTACGGCATCAGCCACAAACACTGAGGCTGGCAGGTTCAAATCCAGCCCGGGCCAGCTAAGCAATAATGACAACTGCAACAGGAAAGTAGCTGGGCATTGTGTCAGGCGCCTGTAGTCCCAGCTACTTGGGAGGCTAAGGCAAGAGAATCGCTTAAGCCCAAGAGTTTGAGGTTGCTGTGAACTGTGACAGCACGGCAGTCTACTGAGGATGACATAATGGGACTCTGTCTCAAAAAAAAAAAAGAATTGGTATGCTTAACTAAGGCAGTGAATAATTTAATTTCTTTGGTTGTTAAAGTGTTGGCAATGAGCCCAGGACACTTTTGACCATTTTTTCTTTAGCAGATAGACTATTAGCTTATCTTTTCACTATTTATCTCTTTCAGATTCAAGTTAAATGCCACATAAAAATACTAGGCATTTGGGGGGATTGAGTGAGCCCAAATAGTTGAATTTAAGATCATCAGAATTTTACTGCAATGATATTTGCAAGCATTTAAATGTCTACTTCAGAATTACTTGACATATATGATATTTAATTTTAAATAATTGTTTATGTGATATCCTTATGCTGTCTTCTATCTTTGGCAGGAATTAAAAGGTGGAAAAGCTTATGCAAAGGTAAGTAGATGTTTTTTAAGTCTTTTGGAACATATAATATTGCTTATTGCTGTTGGTAGGTTTAAAAATAAAATGATTTACTATTCTAATTGCTATTCAAACTTGGCTCTTTTCAAATAAAACTATTTGGAGATAAAACATTTGGACCCAACAATAAATTATAGGCATATTCTTTCTAAATGCTGATTGTGGCATGTTAACTCTTCAGTTCCAGCTTCTCTCCTAGAAGATGATCTCTGGTTTGCATTAAGTCATAGGGGTTGGTAATTTATACGGTTCTCACCTGGGAACCACTCCCAGGCCTCCTCTGTGCTCTCTGAGCACTCTACACACAGGATTACTCCTGTCCTTTGTCACTTTTACTAGCTGGATGAAATTACTAACAAGTGTGCTCACCTTTTTACTGAATAGAAGGAATTAGTAATTAATAACATATACTCCTCTTACTTCCAGTCTCTGTGAATGGTATCTTCATCAATCCAGTCATCTGATCCAAGGGTCTGTTAATTTTAGACCTAATTTTGGTGGCTAATTTTAACCACCAAATCTACCTAACTCCCTAAATCTAGCTGGTTGCAATGTCAGGATGTTCTTTACTACAGGTAACAGAAAACCAGCTCCAACTAGAAATTTTTTTTTAGTGTCCCCAAACTAAGTCGATGTGAGATAGAGCTGCTTCAAAATTGGTTCATCCGGTGACTGGAGAACATCATCAAGAACCTGTATTATTTTTCTCTGTCCATTCTGCCATTCTCTATGGTGACTTTGTTCTTGGCTGGCTTCCTTCATGGACACCAGATGGCTGGCTGCTCCAGTTTCAGTCACCAGGTTCACATATGACAAAATCCAGGTGCCTTTGTCCATGTAGTACTGGTTTACCAGGGAGAATACTTTTCCTAGATGGCTCTCAGAGGATTTCCTAGATTATATGCCTACCACTAAACCAGTTGTTGGCAAGAGAATGGATTGCCTTATTAGCTTAGACTAATCACAGTTTAGCAATGATGTAAGAATGGGGTAACCTTCCTTGTACTCGTGGATGAACTGAGAGAGGACCCCTGAATAAAATCAGGCTTTGCTGGCAAGGAGTAGCAAGGTGCTGAATGTGGGGCAGGCAGACAGCAAAGTCTACTGTAGCTGACAGATCCTTTTTGTTCTTCCCCCTTTTTTTTTTTTTTTTTGGCAGTTTTTGGCCAGGGCTGGGCTTGAACCTGCCACCTCTGGCATATGGGGCTGGCACCCTACTCCTTTGAGCCACAGGAGTTGCTCGTGGTTCTTCCCTTTTAAAAAGCTCTTGAAGACTCACTCCTATAATCCTAGCACTCTGGGAGGCCAAGGCAGGTGGATCACTTGAGCTCAGGAGTTCAAGACCAGCCTGAGCTAGATAGAGTGAGACCCCTGTCTCTACTGAAAATAGAAAAACTAGCCAGGTGTTGTGGCAGGTGCATGTAGTACCAGCCACTTGGAAAGCTGAGGCAGGAAGATCTCTGGAACCCAAGAGTTTGGGGGTGCTGTGAGCTATAGGACTACAGAGGCAGCAGAAAAAGACTTTGTCTCAAAAAAGATTAAATACATAAAAATAAAAAGCTCTTGAAATTGTACCTTTTTTCCCAGTGCCACTGCCTCAGGTTACACCGTCATCGTTTCTTCCTTATTTACAGTCTGCCTTAGCCGTGCAGCTCCTCTCCCTTGCTTTTGTTATTCTCCCTCCCTCCTCCCTGGTATTGCCAGAGTGCTCTTTCTAAGATTAAAACATGTTCTCGTCATTCTCTCACTTTTGGTCTTTCAGCAGCTATTCATTGCTCATAAAGTAAACTGAAAATTTCTTCACCTAGGAGCTAAGACCCATCTTGGTTCGCCTTCTCTTCTGTTTCTCTCCTGCGCAGACACACGCACACACACACACTCATACACTCATCTTTATGCATCAGACAGGTCCTCAGGAACTTTTTAGAGGATGCACTATTATTTTAGCCTCTTTTCCCTGGGATTTAATGTTTTCCCTGCCACACATGTATTTCTTCCCCCGCTTTCCGTCTCAACTCATGTATCATTAAACACTGAAGGCACAAGTAGGTGAGTGGATGTAGCTGGCAGTAAGAGCTTGTGGAAGTAAAGTGCTCCGTTGATTGCTTTTATGTTCCGAGTGAAATAAGAAGCAAAGTCATCATCAGATAGAGGATGGGGAAAAGATGTTGGAGGTTCACAGGGAAGGGGTAATGTGTGAAGTGTGTCACTAATGTGTGATCACATGCTCAGCCTGATGTGGCTTTGCCCTGGATGTATCCAGGCTTTTTTTGCTGATCTGCTATCCCCCTAAAACAGGCAAAAGACCAGAGTAACCATGTGAAAATTAGGTCTATGTTACCTGTAGCTTGATGTGTGTCTGCCCTATTGCATTTGCAACTTGTGGCCCTTCAGCTGCTCTCTATGTTTTTTATTCTTTATTCTTTCTATGCTAGCTAAAAGCTATTAAAATAATGTTCTACCTGCAATTAAAATCTTCATCTTGAATACCATTCAGAGTGCCCACTGTGTATTTTAAAGCCTTAAAGTAGGCCAGGTGCAGTGGCTAATTCCTGTAATCCTAGCACTCTGGAAGGCCGAGGCAGGTGGAGTTTGAGACCAGCCTGAGCAAGAGCAAGTCTCTGTCTCTAAAAATACCTGGGCATTGTAGTGGGTGCCTATAATATCAGCTACTCAGAAGGCTGAGGCAAGAGAATCGCTTGAGCTCAGGAGTCTGAGGTTGCTGTGAGCTATGACTCCATGGCTCTACTGGGGTGACAAAGCGAGACTCTGTCTCAAAAAAATAAATAAACAAACCCTAAAGTAAACAACTAAAATCACAGCAGTGTTTGAAGTGTATACTTTTTGTTATGGAGATGTGCTTAATTAATTGCAAGCTCAATTCATGTTTTGTTAATAAAAGACTGTACATACTTAATCATATAGAGTAGACTTAGTTTGTTCGAAAATAATGATATGAGAGGATTTATTTGTTTTACCACTTGGAAATGAGAATCAGGGCTCAGCAACATCATAGGGAAGATTATAGGGCAACTTTTGGTAACTGCAGAAAATGGGGACCAAACCTGGGTAGAAAAAAGGGGGAGAAACAGGTTTTACCAGCACTTCTGCTACCAGCAGGGAGGATTGGTGTGAGGCAGAGGTCTGGGGAAAGAGGAAAAGTCGGTTCCATAAAAAGATTTAGCTCAAAGATAATCAACAAGGCAAATGGAAAAGGTGGTGAAAGAGAAGGGGTCTATAACAATGAAGGTATGTGATTTGTCTTAATCAATCCAGTTCTCACACATAGAGAGTGAAAACTTAACCTGCAGCTATCTGCAGTCACCAGAGGTCAACTCAGCATAGAGCCAGAACAAGGATAGAAAGAGGATCTGGTCGTTCTTCTATCTGTGTCTGCAAGTGATCACGACTGGTTTGCTAATATTTCTCAGAGTGTGTTGCAAATACCACTGCTACTTCTGTGATTTTAATTGTTTGATATGCATGATGTTTACCTTAGTAATAATATATTCATTTCAGTGAACACAGAAAAAATATATTCAGCACATCTTATCTATGATTTCAAAGATCTTGTTGCTTAAGATAATAGTAGAATAGGCTTGGTGCCCTTAGCACAATGGTTACAGCGCCAGCCACATATGCCAAGGCTGGCGGCTTCGTAACCCACCCAGGCCACCTAAACAACAATGACAACTGCAACAACAACAACAAAGAAATAGCCAGTCACTGTGGCAAGCGCCTATAGTCCCAGCTACTTGGGAGGCTGAGGCAAGAGAATCAATTAAACCCAAGAGTGGGAGGTTGCTGTGAGCTGTGATGTCATGGCACTCTACCAAGGGTGACATAATGAGACTCTGTCTCAAAAAAAAAGATAATAGTAGAATAGGTAGTACATTTTTATAAAACGTGAAGCAGTTTAAATACACATATAAAATATATGACAGAACGGGTATTAAGATGGGAAAAATTACAAATAACTGAAGTTTGTGAAAACCTATCTAGGACGTGGATTGAATGTTTATTTTTAAGGAGAATATGATAGAAGCCTACTAGATATTCTATTAATATAATTATCTTTCTTTTCATAGCTGGGCTTTGCAGATCTAAACTTGGCCGAGTTTGCTGGATCAGGAAATACCACTCGTCGTTGTTTACTGGAAGGCTATGATACCAAAAATACAAGACAGGATAATTCCATTCTTAAAGTAAGCACGTTTCAAGATTTACATGTCAACAAATGAGATTTTTCTGACTGTAAATAAGCAAAGGACAAGATGTGAGTCAGTGCTGAGGTCATTAAGTGGACCACACCACTGAAATAGTCACCACCTAGGGAACAAAACCTTTCCAGATGGCAGAAGCAGTGAAAGTAACAAGTGTTCACCTTCATGAGCCTACAGAGTTTTCCTTTGGTCAGAGGAGAATACACAGACCACAACATAATAACTCACTGGGAGTAAGGAGCATAATAACTCGTTGAGAGTAAGGAGCATGATGAATGAATGAATACATTAAAATGTTTGTGGCCCTCTAAAGGTGATTTCCAGAGTCACTGTGCTGGGTACATAGAAGTCACTGGGTTCTCTTGTAACTAGTGAAGTGGCAGGTGGAACCCACTTCTGGCATCTGCCCTACTGTTTCTAATTCCATCAGGAACTGTGTATTCTAGTAATCAGAAAAGGTATGCTTCATAGAGTTGATGATAGCATTAAGTGACATCAGTAGAGAAAATGTTCATAAAATACCTTACACCTAGTTAAACTCACTGGATGAACCTTCTGCTGTATTTTTGTCAAGTTACCCCATGATCGTAAGTTACTGTCTTAGTCTGTGTGTATTGCTACAGAGGAATACCTGAGGCTGGGTAACTTGTAAAGAAAAGAGGTTTATTTGACTCATGGTTCTGCAGGCTGAGCAGGAAGCACCTGCTTCCACTGAGGGTTCAGGGAGTTTTCATTCATGGTGGAAGGCAAAGCAGATGCGCCATGTGGGACGGGGAGCACAGGAGGCAGGAAGCACGAGAGAGAGAAGGAGGTATCAGGCCTTCTTGAACATCCAGCTCTTGCAGGAACTAATAGAGGGAGTGTGCACTCATTACCACAAAGGGGGCACAGCCATGGGAGGGATGCCCCTGTGACCCAAACACCTCCTGCTGGGCCCCACCTCCAACGCTGGGGATCAAATTGCAGCCTGAGATTTGGAAGGCACAAACATCCAAACTTCTAAGTTTGAAACCTTGCCACCTTGGTGAGGTTTCATAACCTTGATAATGCCAGTGTCACACAGCTGCGTTCTTGTTGGTGTCTGGCAGGGTCCCATTGAGTGGTGTTGGTTATTGTTGTGTGTTTTGTGTGCCCTCTCCGGTCCTGGTGTCTCTCATCTCTTGACCACCTGGTCACTTCTCTCTCTCTCATTAGTGACTTAGCTCCTGTCTCACAATTTCTTTCTACTTCCCTTCCCCTGTCATCGTTTTTTTGGCAGCTTCACCACCTGTGCAGGGGGCTGTCCTTATGGACTCTCTCCTCTGTACAGACTCTCCTGAAAGCTGATCTCGGTGTGCCTACGGGCTCTCAGTTCCTTAAACCCCGTACCTCCAGCAATGTCTGCCCTCTGCCTCAGCTCCATTCCTACTCCCACGGTCACCCTCTAGACTTTCTTACCCCAGGAACTTCACCAACTCCAAAATATCCTACAGTTACCTTACATTTTCCGCCCTCTGGATCCTTTAACCTTACACTTTCTCACTATCCATTAGCCCCCACTTGCCTCCACTTCCTCTTTACCCAGCTTGGATTCCGTGATTATCATACATACCCTTCATAATACTCCTGGCCCGGTTCCCTGTCCCCTGAATAATTCCCACCCCTAATTGAATTCAGTTGTGCTTGCTGCCCACTTGCTGAGCATTGCTGGAGATCACACAACCACGCTGGCTGGAATTACTGAACTCCTGCTCACTGCCAGCAATGGTACTTGACTTTTCTTTTTAAACTTACTTTTCAAATTTAGATATTCTATTTTATGCCTTCTTTCTCCTATATCCCCACACACCACTCTTGATCTCAGCTTATCCTTCACTGAGAAAACAGAAGTCATTAAACTCAATTCCTTCATCTTTCCATCACAGAATTTCCCTGTTTCTCTGGGTGTATTATCCTTTTTCCTTCCTATTAAATGGATGACATGTCCCTCTTCCTGTCAGAAATCAACCCTCAGCTGGGTTCGATGGCTCAGGCCTGTAATCCTAGCACTCTGGGAGGCCAAAGTGCGTGGATCACTGGAGCTCAGGAGTTTGAGACCAGCCTGAGCAAAGGCAAGACCCTATCTCTACTAAAAATAGAAAAATTAGCCAGGCATTGTGGTGGGCGTCTATAGTCCCAGCTATGTAGGAGACTGAGACAAGAGGATCTCTTAAACCCAAAAGTTTGAGGTTGATGTGAGCTAGGCTGACGCCACAGCACTCTACCCAGGGTGACAGAGTGAGACTCTGTCTCAACAACAACAACAAAAAGAAAATATTGCTCTCACACAGGAGTATTAAAAATTAAATTAAATAATGCATGTGAAACATTTAGCTTATGCTTGGTACCTATGAACTCTTAAATCATGATTGATATTCATCTTGTTACCATTACTGTTATCTTTATTTTTCCCATAAGAACATAAAAAGGTCCTGTGACTACTTATTAAAAGCTAGTCAGCAAATAGAGCAGTGTTTTTCAACCATTTTTTATCTCATAGCACACTCGAACCTACAGTTAAACTTCCACGGCATACTTAAATTATGTTGATCCAAAATAAAAAGGGCTCAGCTCGGTACCTGTAGCTTGGCTTGGCGCCTACAGCTCAGCAGCTCTAGCACCAGCCACATGCACCAGCTGGCAGGTTTGAATCCAGCCTGGGCCTGCCAAACAACAGTGACAACTACAACCAAAAAATAGCCGGGCATTATGGCAGGCGCCTATAGTCCCAGCTACTTGTGAGGATGAAGCAAGAGAATTGCTTAAGCCCAAGAGTTTGAGGTTGCTGTGAGCCATGACACCATAGCACTCTACCCAGGGCGACACAGTGAGACTGTTTCAAAAAAAAGAGTAAAAAAGAGAATATACTTACTGTACTTAGAACTTCTTTCAAAAATAATTTAATTAATGATCTTTAAAATTTTTCATGGCACACCACTTGATAATCACTAAGCCAGAGGGTAGCAGTATCTCAGAAAGTGTTAGAAAAACTTTAAATCTTGACCTAAAACTGGAACAAAGGCCAGAAGACTTTTACCCTTAGAAGCCACCATCGGGGATCCCTTGAAGCATGGACATGGCAAATTGGAGGGAAACATTATCAGACACTTAAACACCACAGGAATCTGGGAGTAAAGGCAGATAAACTAGATTAGCATGGCCACACACCCAAGGATTATTCCTAGTGAATTATTATGACTGTTTTTGTTTTTTGGAGACAGAGTCTCACTGTCACCCTTGATAGAGTGCAGTTGGTATCACAGCTCACAGCAACCTCAAACTCTTGGGCTTAAGTGATTCTCTTGCCTCAGCCTTCCAAGTAGCTGGGACTACAGGTGCCCCACCACAAGGCCCCTATTTTTTGTTGCAGTTGTCATTGTTGTTTAACAGGCCTGGGGGGCCGTGTTCCAACCCCCCAGCTTCAGTGTGTGTGGCTGGCGTCATAACCACTGTACTACAGGTGTGGAGCCTATGATTTTTTTTTTTAATTAGCAAGGTTTTGAATCTTAAAAATAATCTTTAATCTATATGAAGTGGTAATTTAATATTGGATATAACTCAATCTAACAATAATTTAATGCTTTTTTATTTTTTTTCATTTGCTTCGGATATTTTTTTTAAGATATGCAAAGATAGGCGGCACCCATAGCTCAGTAGTTATGATGCCGGCCACATATACCAGGGCTGGCGGGTTCAAACCCGGCCCGGGCCAGCTAAAACAACAATGACAACTGCAACAAAAAAAGAACAATAGCCAGACATCGTGGTGGGTAACTGTAATCCCAGCTACTCAGGAGGCTGAGGCAAGGAATTGCTTAAGCCCAAGAGTTTGAGGTTGCCATGAGCTATAACACCATGGCACTCTTCCCAGGGTGACAGCTTGAGACTGTCTCAAAAAAAAGAAATACAAAGATATTCAAATATCTTTTGTGTACCATCCCAGAGGCAATCAGAGTCAGAGTCTTTCCCAGAGGAAAGACAATTATGAATCTTTCCACCCATATTTTATACATTTGCTATATATTGGTAGATACCCAAATTATTCATAACATTATCTTGCATTTTCAAATTTTATGTAAAATAAAATTTGTCGCTTTTATTAAAGATTAATTTTTCAAGAGCTTTCTCTGTTACATAGGTAGATTCTATGTATTTACTTTATTGAATAGATATACATTATTTAAAAATACATTCTGTTTCCGTTGGTGAAGATGTATATACAGTGTACATTTTAGGTGGATTAAGTATACTGTGTTCTTGGACACAATTTATGTCCTTTGAGTTTATATGGAATAGTTAATTTAGACTACATATCTTAAAGGAAAATTTGTAGGTTATTTGCTATAATTTTAATGCTATTTAAATAGAGGATATTGGAGGAAGTGTGGATTAGCAGAACGTGGTATCTGCTCTCAAGACATGTCCTGCAGCTTTGCACTGTGGGAGTGTCGCAGCCAGTGAGATTTAGCCAAGGCAAGATTAGTGCTAATAAAAAACCTTTCCCAATACCCCACCATGATGACTTGAAATATAGTTAGCACTGGGGAAAAAAAAAAGGAAATCTTTTATAATCATGATATTTCTTCTTCTTATGTCTAGGTTTTGATCAGTATGCAACTGATGTCTGGTGACCCATGTTTTAAAACGTAAGTTATGTTCAACAAATGGATTATCCATCTGAAAGTATAATAGAGATTTGTTTAAATGTTCACATTAATATTGTATAGTGCCTCTAGGCGAATACCAGTGAGGGGGTAATTCCTTTCCCGGGAGACTGACCTGACCCTCACAGAGGTTACTATTACCTGGCACCAGATGAGCACTTCGCATTCTAAATCACCTAAGCCATAGGTCTTTTGTCATCTTCTGGTTTGGGGTAAAATTTTACTAACTAAAATTTTTAGTACAGCTTCTGTGGACATGCTCATTTCTTTAATAAACGACTCTAAGTGCCTTCCCATGTACTAGGCCCTGTTCTAGATACTCGACTAAGTCCCTGCCTTCTTGGAGCTTCTATTCTAACAGGAAAACAAACAATAAACTAGCAAGGAAATACATAATGTAAAGATGGGGACACCTGCTTCGGAGAAGAACTAAAGCAGGGCAGCAGAGCCGTGATGGAGAGAAAAGTTGCTGTTCTATATGTAGCAGTACTAGTGAAGATGATACTGGAGTGAAAACCTGAAGGAGGGGGGAAGCAAAACAGGGGGACATCTGGAGAAAGGCTGTGAGGCAGAGGGAACAAGGACAAAGGCCTCGGGGGAGGAGGGTTCTTGGCACGTTCACGTAACTGCCAGGAGATGTTTGTCTAGAGCAGAGTGGAGAGGACGGTAATGGAGATGAGGTCAGGTGATAAGAAGTCTTACCGGCCGTCATAATAAGGACTGCCATTTATATTTTAAGTGAGATAAAAAGACAGTGAGGTTTGGAGCAGAGTGTGAAAGTATCCGACTTATGGCTGCTAGGTAGAGAACAGACAAGTGGGGTGCGCCTGGAAGGGACAAGGACAGAAATAGGTGGATGAAGCTGCTTCAGGAATCCCAGCAAGGGGTCTGAGTAACGGGAAGAAGGACATTTTCACTTCCTGAGCGACTGTGGGAGGAGCAAGTCAGACCTGAGTGTGAGACGTGTTAGATTTCAGATCCCTATTAATATCCAGCCGGGCATCAAGTAGGCAGTTGGATGTGTCAGCCCCAGAGTGCAGTGGGGAGATCTGGGCTGGAGAAAGACTTTGGAAAGCGTGACATCATCAGCATATAGTTAGCATCAAAGCCCTGAGACGTGACTAAATGACTAGAGGAAATGAATATCAACAAAGCAAAGGTGAGGACCACAGAGCGAGTGTGGGGCACTCCGATGCGTTAGAGGGTGAGGAGAGAAGACAAGCTAGCAAAGAAACAATGGGTGCGGCAGGGGAAGGAGACAGAGGAGAGCACTGTCCTGAAAACGGAGAGAAGACGGTGTTTCAGAAGAGGAGGAGTAGTAACCCACTGCATTGTGCACTACTGGAGGTCTCGGAACACGAGGACTGAGAACAGGTCTTTGACTTTGCAGTGTAGAGAGCACTGGTAAACAGGCACTTTGCTAGAATACTCTCAGGCTAAAGCCTTTTGAGGGTGGGTTAAAGAGAGTTTGAAAAAAAATTTTTTTTTGAGACACAGTCTCACCCTGTTGCCCTGGGGGTAGAATGTCATGGTGTGACAGCTCACAGCAACCTAAAACTCTTGGGCTCTAGTGATCCTTCTGCGTCAGCCTCTCAAGTAGCTGACAATACAGGCACCTGCCATAACACCTGGCTAGTTTTTCTGTTTTTAATAGAGACAGGGTCTCACTCCTGCTCAGGCTGCTCAAGCAATCCACTCATATTGGCCTCCCATGGTGCTGGGATTACAGGCGTGAGCCCCTACACCCGGCCAATAAACAATTCTTATGTGAAGTTTCACTCTAAAAACAGAACAGAAATATGAGGTTATGAGTAAAGAGAGGATGTGAGGTGGGGCAGGTTTTGTGTATTTGTAAGATGAGGGACAGTACAGCATGTTTTTATACTGATGGGATTGGCTCAATACAGAGGGAGGTGTGAGACAGAAGAGAAAAAAGACTATTCCTAGAACAGCATCTGGATTGTCAAGAGGGATAAGGACAGAGAACACAGCCGTCAGTGCAGAAGGAAGGATACGGGGAAGGGTGTAGACGTCCCTTTTTGATTGCTTCTGACTTCTTAGTGAAATAGGAAATTGATCATGGAAGAGCCAGGATGGGGAAGACAGAGGTAGGGGTTTCAATTATTAAAGAGGAAAAGGTAGGGAAAAGTCCCCTCAGAGAACATGAGAGTGAACTGAATGGCGGGGGGGGGAACACAGGATTGTCTACTGGCAACCTCGGAGACAGTATTTAAAAATGAAAGTTGATTGGTTATTATTTAAATATCTGAGAAAAATACAGTTAGAAAAGTTTGCCAATTAAATAATAAATTAATAAATACTAAAAAAAAAAAAAAAGAAGAAGAAAAGAAAAGAAACCATTATCCAGGCGTGGTGGCACACCCCTGTCATCCCAGCTACTCAGGAGGCTGATCCCTGGAACCCAGGAGTGTGAGCTTACAGTGAGCTATGATCAAGCCAGTGCACTCTAGCCAGGCGACAGAGCGACACCCTGTCTCAAAAAAAAAGAGAGAGAAAGAACACCTTACTTCCCCATATATCAATTTCATGTTTTTAATACTTCTTGCTGTAAATCAGAAATGTCCAGAAATAAGCAATGTCCATATAATTTTCTGTTTACATGCTATTTGGTAGAAACATGTATTTTTAATACAAATTAACTCTTGAGTAAAACTCTACATTTTCCTATAACTTAGCCTTCTTGTGCTGTCTCCTCACAAACTGTAACCACAGGCTTCTTTATTTGCGGATCTCTTGGGACTGAACAATTTTTGTTATACTATTTTTGGTCTTACAGGTAACAGGTCGTTGTTTTAGTGGAATCAATCAGTTTAGGATAAAATAAGAAAATGAGCAGCAAAACTTACTAGAAGAAAATGAATTCATTTTTTTTTTTTTGAGACAGAGTCTCATTATGTTGCCCTCAGTAGAGTGCTGTGATGTCACAGCTCACAGCAACCTCAAACTCTTAGGCTCAAGTGATTCTCTTGCCTCAGCCTGCCAAATAGCTGGGACTACAGGTGCCCACCACAACACCTGGCTACTTTTAGAGACGGGGTCTCCCTCTTCCTCAGGCTGGTCTTGACCCTGTGAGCTCAGCCAATCCACCAGCCTCAGCCTCCCAGAATGCTAGGATTACATTCGTGAGCCACTGCACCTGGCCTTATCCCTTCTTGTGAACTTTTTTTTTTTATTGAGACAGTCTCAAGCTGTCACCCTGGGTAGAGTGCATCATAGCTCAAGCAACCTCCAACTCAGGCTCAAGCAATCCTTTTCCCTCAGTTTTTCTATTTTTAGTAGAAATGAGGGTCTTGCTTTTGCTCAGGCTGATCTCAAACTCATGAGCTCAAGCAGTCCACTAGAGTGCTCCTAGCCTCCCAGAGTGCTAGGATTATAGGTGTGAGCCACCACGCCCAGCCCTTCTTATGAACTTTTTATGGAGATTCCCTTGCTGGCCCTTTCTCTGCCCTTATTACTTACAAAATTTACATATGAAAAACCTTGAAATAGATTGTCTAATGTTTTATGTTATTTCCACAAATGTGATTCTGGGCTTGATGGCTGTGGCTCAAGTGGCTAAGGCACTAGCCACATACACCAAAGGTAGCAGGTTCAAATCCAGCCCGAGCCCACCAAACAACAATGATGGTTGCAACCAAAAAAAAATAGCCAGGCGTTGTGGCGGGCACCTTTGGTCCCAGCTACTTGGGAGGCGGAGGCAGGAGACTCGCTTGAGTCCAGGAGTTGGAGGTTGCTGTGAGCTGTGATGCCAGGGCACTCTATCCAGGGGGACAGCTTGAGGCTCTGTCTCAAAAAAAAAAAAAAAAAAATGTGATTCTGACAATCAAGAATTTATATTTACAGAGGAAGACTTTAATTATACTTCATAAGAATAAATAGACCAAATACATGGAAGTATTTTTCAGAAGAAAATACTCAGTAGTTTTGCCTTTTTCTTTGAATATCTGAAATTATGCAAATGTCAGTGAAAAAAAAGGAGGAATTCTCACACCCTCATGAACTGGCACACATTATGTATTGAATAGAAAAACATTTGAACTGCTCATATGAAAAGTAAATTATTTTTATCAGGTTATAGTTAGATGTTTATCAAATAGGTAAAATCGCATCACTTCAGAGCTGGAAAGAATGTCAGAAATTGTCTAGTCCAATGATATTTTTCAGAATCTTTAGCCATAAAATCCTTTGCTTGAGTATATTATGAGTCCTAGTATGTAAAATTTTTCTTTTGAATACTCTGCCCTAGCTGCTTTCAAAAGTTGCTAAGGGCAGGGCCAGGTACAGAACCAGTGGCTCACACCTGTAATCCCAGCACTCTGGGAGGCCAAGGTGGGTGGATTGCTTGAGCTCAGGAGTTTGAGACCAGCCTGAGTAAGAACGAGACCCCATCTCTACTGAAAATAGAAGAACAAGCCAGGTATTGTGCCAGGGGCCTATAGTCCCAGCTACTCAAGAAGCTGAGGCAAGAGGATTGCTGGAACCCAGGAGTTTCAAGTTGCTCTGAGCTATGATACCATGATAAGACTGTCTCCAAAAAATATATATCTTTTTTTAATTTATTTTTTCTTTTGGTTAAAACTCAAACTTGCTCCTCCTTGCTTCACAGCTTCTACATAGAATGGGAACTTTGAATTAGCCAATGAAAACAGATCCTTTACCTCCCAGAGAATTCAATCCAAAAAGCAAATCTGAAGTAACTAATTCTCTGTACAGACTTTCCTGGGCCAGTAAGCTATTTACAGAGACGTAGGTGGGGGGGGGAAAAAGAAAAGAAAAACCTATGGATATTATCTAAGAAGTTGGTGGAGCCACCAAAAGAGTTTAGGCTCTGAAGCAGGAGGCATGAGGTGCCTCCTTCCCCGGCTCAGAGACGCCCCCTGCCTAGTTGGAATTGAGTTGACAGGTGAACACCCGTTTGTGGAGCCCTGCTGGGTCCTCTCTTCAGGACTCCATGGAGGCAGTGTCCTCCCCTTTGTGGTTCTGGTCTCCCCTTTCGTGTTGTGCAAAATAATCTTTTTCCCCTCATGAATATTAAGTTTTGAAAAGATGCTTACACATTATTTGTTGATTTTGTTGTTGTCGTTGTTGTTGCTTTCACCCTCAAAGGCACACCATTACTGGGCAGCTTATGCCAAGGCTCACTAAGCTCACCACTCACTGACCGTGTTTCAGACTTTCAGGTTCACTCCTTATTCAAGTTCTGACTCTTAGAAATGTTACTTACAGGCCTCCCTCTACATCAATGTCTATACCAATTGCTGGTGAATCTGAATCTCTGCAAGAAGACAGAAAAGGCGGAGAGACTCTCAAAGTGCATCTTGGAATAGCAGGTATGGATATGTAGCCTACTGGTGTTTTAACTTGTGATAAACAGTATTACTTAACATCATGGAAGATTTCCGAAGCATTCTATGGGTATATGACTTGAATGGGTCAGTAAACATCAGCAGGGTTTTTATTATGAAGTTCTTAGTGAGTTCAGTGCTATACTTAGTCTAAAGTATTGTACTCATGCATATGACAGCTAGATGTTACAGTGGCACACACCCCCATTGTATGCCCCAGGGGTGTCCAACGTTTTATCTTCTTTGCACCACACTGGCATCTGAAGAGCTGTCTTGAGTCACACAGTAAATACAGAAACACTAATGAAAATCGATGAGCAAAAAAAGGCCCATGCATAATTTTTGTGGTATCTGCCACCACAAATGAGCAAAAAAGTCCTCTCATCATCCACATGTGGCCCGTGGGCCACAGGTTGGACACACCTGCATGGGACACTACAGGATTTTTCCCATTCCACACACAGCTCTGCCAGTCTGCTCTAGGCATTGCTTCTGTCTCTCCCATGAGTCACTTTCCTCATCAGTGGTTCTTAAGCTGCAGTGTGCATCAGCTTCACCTGAAGGATGAAGCCTGGCACCAGCAGCCCAAGTTCTTGCTTCAGTAGATCTGGGCTAGGGGCTGACATTTTGCATTGCTGATACATTCCCAGATAATGCTGATGTTGCCGGTCCCCACCCACACCTTGAGCTCCACTTTGGGCAAACCTCCATCAACAGTCAGAATCTGTTCTAGGAGTTAAAACGGTGGGGGAATACCAAGTCAGCTGGGGAAAAGGGACTTGAGAGCTTCCTTCTGTCTCCCATGTTAAGTGAACAGAGTGTATTTCTTTGAATGGAAAGAAAGGTGAGGTGATGCAATTATTATTTTCACCGCCTTTTCAAAGATGCAAATATATAGTTTCTTATAGATAATGGTTACTATAGATAATGGTTACTATGAAGTGTCCTGATTTAGGATCAGGAATCCTTTGGGTATTTTTAACATTCCATTAGCTCCTTCCCTTCAGCATTTAAATAATCCAGTTTATTTCCCATATTGAAAAAATAAATAAAAAGCAAACACTCATTAGCCCTAAATCCTTCTCTGCCTGCTGCTCTCCTGTAGACCCTAGCAGTCTGGCCCTTGCTATCTCTCTTTCTCCTTCGCCCCCGATCCTCCTCCCTATATATAGACACATCTCTGGGGGTGTGTATGTATGTGTATATATATACACACACACATATATATAGAAAGAGAGAGAGATCATCAGGAGATGATATATATACCACACACACTTTTTATAGTGAAAATTCTAGAAAGAATAGACTGCCCATTTATTCTTAAACACATTTGCAATCTGGCTTCTGTCTTCCGCCCTCTCTTGATAATATCTTCTAGTTACATGATCATTGAATCCTTTGGGCATTTTTTCTGTTCTCATCTTTTTTGGCCACTTTTTCTTGAAGCTTTCTCTTCCCTTGGCTCCTACCTCTTGGACCTTTCCTTTTCTGGCTTCTTGGAGGCTTCTTCATCTACGTCAACCTTCCACTTAAATATTGGTGTTCCACAGGGATTGGTCCTCTCTGCTTACTTTCCTGAGCAATGTCATCTATACCCTTGGGTTTAACTGTCACATAAATACAAAGGTAATGGTTTAAATGTAAGTTAAGTCTTTTCAATTCACAAATTTATGTTGCTTCAGGACTTTCCTCCTGAACTCCAGGTGTATGTCCTCAAACGCTTTTGGGAAAGGCCCACTGCATGCCCGATGTTATGCTGAAATGCATCTGTTTCTCTTTCTCCCAAGCCATATTTTCAAGTTCTTCATGATCAGGTCTCATTTGTTATCATGTCCCCAGCATAATGCCAGGGACACAGCAGAAACTCAGTGACTAGGGAATAGGCATTCTCAGGGGTCTAAAATTCCATCTATAGCAGTTTTTCCTAACTTTTCCTTCCCTATTCTCTATCTCACTTATCCTGACCCAAACTTCTACCTAATAATTGAGGCCTGTTATTTGTGCCTGTTAAACATTTCTCACACACAACTGGATTATTATGAAAACCTTCCCTCTTTTACCCCATTCATGCTGTTACCAAGATGGTCTTCCCAAAAAGTAAGTCTGAGTGTGTCATGCCCTTGCTAGAAGCCACTAAACTGTGATCCTTCCTCAACAGGCTCACATGCATCTCTCCAGCCTCTTTTCCCCCAGTCATCTACATCTACAATCTCCAACCCCCAGACCATGGACCAGTACTGATCTATGACCTATTAGGATCAGGGCCACACAGCCAGAGAGGAGCAGCAGGCAAGCCAGCTAAGCTTCATCTGTATTTACAGCCACTCCACATCTTACATTACCACCTCCTGTCAGATCAGCGGTGGCATTAGATTCTCACAGGAGCACGAACCTTACTGTAAGCTGCACAGGCTAAGCTTCTGTCTTGCACACTCCTTATGAGGATCTAATGCCTGATGGTCTGAGGTGGAGCTGAGGTGGTAATGCTAGCCCTGGGGAGTGACTGCAAATACAGATTATCACTAGCAGAGAGGGTTGACTGCACAGAGACCATAAATCGGTTGCTTGCAGACTTGTATCAAAACCATCCCCCTACCCCATCCATGGAGAAATTGTCTTCCATGACATCAGTCCCTAGTGCCAAAACAGGTGGGCCCTCTGATCTACACCTCTACCCTGCATGCCAAGCCATCTGCTTCTCTGCAGATAAGGCGTGCTCTTCCCCTAAGCCTTTCACTGTGCATCTGGCTAATGAGTTCCTACTTGTTCAAGTCCTGGGGTTAGCTGCCTCTGTGAAGTCTGCCTGCCCCATGCCCCATTACCAGCCTGTGTTAGAGGCACCGCTCTTTGGAACTCTAAATCCCTTCTTTTTGATCCTTATATTTTAGTACTTGCCACTTTTGCTTCTACCTCTAAACTCTGAGCATGAATTTTGCCTTACTCATTTTTTATTTCCTATATCTTATACAGTATTGAGCACCTGACTTGGTAAAAGCTTGATAAAAATGTTTGTTGTTTGAATAAATTTTGAAAACTAGAAGATAAATGGATTACTCATGATCTGAGCAAAACCCAGGAGTAAAGAAAGGGTTAGCTCCAGATATGAAGCAACTCTATGAGTCCCGATTTTGTTGGAGCTAACTTTTGGGTTTAGGGCCACTGTAGAGATGATCGGGATACTTACAGTCAGTCCAGAGATGAGAAACCTTCTCGTTCTGCAAAAAGGGCCAGGGCACTCCGCAGCTTATTTGTTTAGCAGCATTTGTTGGTCCAACTGCATTCAGTATCGTTTACAGAACGGCTGCTATAATAGGTGCATTGCTCAGTTGCCTTCCTTGTGCTTCTAAGTTAAAAACAGTTCTAGTTTCCAAATATGTCACCCTCAGGAAAATGGTCACAGTTCTGCATTCTGCGGAAGAAGCCTGGCTCTGGAAATACACAGTTGGCTCTGGAATATGCACGTGATCAGGGTCCTACTAGTAATGGCCTTGACACTGCTTTTTGTACATTTACTTTGAAAATGAGTAAGCAGTTCCTTAAGAACCTTTATTCTCAGTGCTATATTCCACACTGTGTTGATTTAAGCCACGGACATTGCCCAAATTGTAGCCTAGCATAAGCAGCAATAATGTTGAAGTAATAAAGTGCTCTTCAGACCGCTGCTACGGTGGATCTCTGAGGAAGCAGGATTTCCTCAGAAATCACACTAAATAACCTAGCCATTTTCTGAGAATTTATAAAAACTGCACCTTACTGATTTTCATTAGAGAAATGCTAAACACAAAAACTGTAATAATTTTAACATAGAGTGCTTTTTAACTGTTATGGAAAATGTCATAATTCTTCAGTGAAGTAAGATCTATAAGTACTTTGTATTTCTTGCAGAAAGAGTCGTTTCCCTTGTACGAATTTAAAGGGATATCTGTCACTTTGGCACGTACTTTTCTTGATAATGAACTTGGGGTTTAGAAAATCTGCAGATTAGGATACAAATTGCCCACTAACTTGTCGGCATTAATGTAACTTCACGTTATAACATCCTGCAGATCTTTCAGCCAAGAGTGCCTCTGTTCCGGACGAACTTGGTGCCTGTGGACATTCCAGAACATCAAGCTATGCGAGCCAGCAGTCAAAAGTATCAGGTAAAGGCTAACAGCAAAGTTGAATGTCTTCTTCTAAAGGGGTTTGAAACTGCTGTGGTGGGAGAAGGCTGTTAGATTGCAGTGTGTTTGATACCAGTACTACATCCACAGTGGTTTTCTCTGGCAGGGTATAGCTCATGTCACTCCAGGTCATCTAGTTTCTCTGAGCTCTGCCACAGAAGAAATACCTCAGTGGGAAGTACCTCAACGGGAGTTGAAAGTATTCTAGAGCCCTGTGATGAAATCGAGCAAAAATTAGCCGAACCAAATCTTGATACAGCTGATAAAGAAGATATAACTTCAGAAAAACTCAACAGGTATGCTTTCAATTTAAAAGATAAATTTATATTTAAAAAAAAAAAAACCTTTCTTTTCACAAAATAATAAAAAAGAGGGAATTTTTTAAAATTATTTTCAAAGATGTCCAGTGAAACAAGATTCTGTAGAATCTCAGCTGAAACGAGTTGATGACACCAGAGTGGATGCAGATGATATTGTGGAGAAAATATTACAAAGTCAAGACTTCAGCCTAGATTCCAGTGCAGAAGGTATGTAGATCACTGTTAAGTGTAGATAGATCCCTATAATCCAGGTCTGTGTAATCCAGGTCACCAGTAAAGAGGCAGAACATCATGGCACTGACTGTTGCATAATTGTAAAATAAATTCCATGCCCATAAAAATCTCAAGATATCAGGTGGCGCCCCTAGCTCAGTGGGTAGGGCACCAGCCACATACACTGATGCTGACAGGTTCGAACCCAGCCTGGGCCAGCTAAACAATGACAACTGCAAACAAAAAATAGCCAGGCATTGTGGCGGGCACCTAAAGTCCCAGCTACTTGAGAGGCTGAGGCAAGAGACTCGCTTAAGCCCAAGAGTTTGAGGTTGCTGTGAGCTGTGACACCACGGTACTCTACCCAGGGCAACATAGTGAGACTCTGTCTCAAAAAAAAAAAAAAATCTCAAGGTATCAAAACTTGGTAGCTCATTTACTTCTGAGGATGTATATTGAATTTGTAAAAATAAACCTTAGTTAAAAGAGTTCAATTTAAAAGGTTTTTATTATATTTCTAACTATACATGTATGTCTTCCACATCCGTATGATAGATGTCCATGTCTGTGCTATCCTAAGTAATTAAAGCCATTGTTACAATTTGGAGGGGTAGGGGTGGGGAGTAGTGGTCGTGAAACAATAGTGAATAACAGAAGCTTTCATTCTCTCCTTAGAGGTTTCACTGAAACTGGAAATTTATATGCCACCAATTTGAAAAGTGTAATTACTCATGTTGGTGTGAATAGCTCTTAACAATGGACTTAGGCTCATTATGTGGCTGGCTGTGAAGGGAAATAATTAAACCTCAGTTGTGGATATTTGTAGGAAGAGCTGTATTCATTACTCATTTAAAAGAAAAGAGCTTTAGGAAAGTTGGTGAAAATAACTGTTAGGATCTTTTAAATTGTCTATTTTTAACTGTATATATAACTTTAGTTTTTAAGTTTTTTATTTCTTTAGTAAAATGAAATTTGAAATATGAATTATTACAATATAAACATTGTCAGACAGGAGTCTAAGAATTGTGCATACAACAAGCATTTTAAATTTGTATTGCAGAAGAAGGACTGAGGCTATTTGTAGGTCCTGGAGGAAGTACAACCTTTGGCAGTCATCATCTTCCAAATAGGTATGTAGTACAAATAGTATCTTATTAAAATACAGAATGACTGTTTTTAAAAAAATACTCATGAATAGAGGGTGAAGGTCCTAAAGTTTTTTTTTTTTTAGACTGAGGCTAGAAAAATGCAAATAGTAGTAGTTACATGGGAAGGGAGTTATGGCTCTTAGGGGAGCTCTCCATTTTTCTTATTCTGGGTATTTTTGACACAATATTTTATAAGTTAGATAATTTTCTTAGTTGTATTTTTAGAATGTATTAGTAAAGGACCAGTAGGGCACAATGCAGTTACAGTATGAAAAGAACATTTAGAAGAGTTTTTAATCTGGTATTTTTTGTTCCTGAGGCAGAGTCTCACTTTGTTGCCTGCCCTTGATAGAGTACTGTGGCGTCATAGCTCACAGCAACCTCAAACTCTTGTGCTCAAGTGATCTTCTTGCCTCAGTTTTTCATTTTTAGTAGAGATGGGGCATCTCACTCTTGCTTAGGCTTGTCTTGAACTTGTGAGCTAAAGCAATCCACCTGCCTTGGCCTCCCAGAGTGCTTAGATTACAGGCATGAGCCACCACACCCAGCCTAGTCTGGTATTTTAGAAAGAGCAAAGTAAAATTACATTTTCATTCAGTCATCTTACCTATGCAGTTTATGCAGCCAGCACATTGCAGGACCCAAAGATACAAAAATATAGCATAACAACAAACACATCAACAACTAACTACAATCAGGTAGGTAGGAGAGAGACATAAAGATGCGATGAAGAATTAATTTGAAGGGGTTTATAGAGAATGTGACACAATTTAGAATTGTCATTGACTTTCCACTCATTAAATTCAATAACTGTTGGGCCAACTTGAGTATCCTGAGCCTATTTGGTCCACTTCCACATTTGTAAAGAAAGTTTCACTGAAACACAACCTTGCCAGTAAATGTATATGTGTATGTTCTCTGGCTGCTTTGACACTCCACTAGCAGAGCTGAGTATGGCAGCAGAGACCATATGGCCATCAAAGCCTAAAATATTTACTACCTGACTCTTTCTTGCAGGTAGATAGACAAACTAAAAATGGTAATATTATGATAAGCATTATAACACAGAGAAGTAGAGGGAACTCTGAGAGAACAGAGCTGGGACTTCAGATGGAGAAAACTTTCCACGAGAGATGACACTTACTCTTTGAGAGAGTAAAAGATAAGTGCCGGGCTTATTAGGCAAATAGGGGGAAGACAAATATTCCTGATAATAGGAGCAAATAAAATTAATTTAAAGGTATAATTAGAATACATATGATTATAGAATAATAAACATATAAGTAACAGCAAGCATTTATTAGTCATGTGCCAGACACAAGCGCATCTATATACTTTATTTAATTCTTATAGTACCTTTTTCAAAGGTCACAACATGTTATAATTAGTTTTTTAAAGATGGACACAAAAAATAAAGAAGTGGAGGTAGTTTGCCCAAGGCCTTAAAACTAGTAAGTGGTAAAACCAAGATTCAAACTCATGTCTCTTCGTACTCGGCCACTTTGCATTACTGGCTTGTGAATAATATAACATACTTTGAAAATTGCCAATAAACAAGTTCTTCTGAGGACAGAGGCATGTTAGAGGGAGTTTGGGGCCATGCGGCTGGCAGGTATCTTGGAGCCAGGTTGTATAGGGCCTCGCTTGCCACGACAAAGAGTTTATCCTTTTCACATGTGCACAGTGGGAGACCGTTGGGCCATTCTTGCAGGGAAGTGGCCTATCAGATTGGCATTTTGTTTTTATTTTTATTTTTTGAGCCAGGGTTTTATTTATTCATTTCTTCCATTTGAAGTACTCTTCGATGACATCCCTGGCCTGAGTCTCTTTGCCATAGTCCTTGACTGCTACACAGCTGCAACCAACCACTTTACAGGTTTTCCCCTCTCACAGTTTTACAGAGGCCTACTCATTCCCTTAGTTTCTGGTAGTCATCAACCTTAATTTGGTTGATTTGGCGTTCAGCACAAAGGGCCTCCACCAACTTGACATACATAAGCTCATCACATTGGATGCAAGCACATAAAGATGGGCTTGGCGCTTGTCTGAGGTTTGGGCAGCTTCGTGGAGTCCACATGCAAGGCCATCACGGATGAGGCTGTCTTCAGCACCCCTTGTGAAGCGATGTTAACACCCATTACACCTCCAGCAGCAATGCCTTCCTCTGCCATGGCGGTGGGTTACGTGCAAAGCTGAATTTTGAACTCACCCAAGCCTCCTCCTCCTCGCAACTCAGCAGCAACAGGAAAAGAGGGCAGATTGGCATTTTAGGGTAGTAACTAGCCATAATTTGAAGGGTAGATCAGAGCAAGGAGAGACCAGTAGCAGGGAATCGGGTAGAAAACTAACCTTTATAAGGGTACAATATTTAGGTTACAGTGTTCTCACTTCTAGGGCCAACCATTTGTAGAAGAGCCCCTCACCCAGGGGGCGTCTTATACACCCTCACAACGTGCACATTAGGTGAGATCCCACCTCATGCCCTCCCTCCCTCTGCCATATGTCCTCCAGAACATGTTTTTCAGTTAAAGAGACTTGCCAGGCCACTTTCAGTGCCTGGGTAGGAACTTTAATTACCTCTACTGAAAAGAGGGAATAACCATGCCTATCTTACAGCGTAGGGTAAATGACATAGTATACTCAGTAAGCCCTCACTATTACTCATGCACGTAGAGCAGGGTTTTCCAACCTTTCCTACCAAGCACACTCGAACCTATAGTTAAACTTCCACCCCACATGTAAATTAGGTTGATCAAAAAAAAGAGTAAAGGCTTGGCGCCTGTGGCTCAAGTGGCTAAGGCACCAGCCACATACACCTAAGGTGGCAGGTTTGAATCCAGCCCGGGCCTGCCAAACAACAATGACGGCTGCAACCAAAAAATACCCAGGCATTGTGGCGGGTGCTTGTGGTCCCAGCTACTTGGGAGGCGGAGGCAGGAGACTCGCTTGAGCCCAGGAGTTGGAGGTTGCTGTGAGCTGTGATGCCGCAGGACTCTACCCAGGGGGACAGCTTGAGGCTTGGTCTCAAAAAGAGTAAAAAAAAGGATATATTTATTGTGCTTTAAACTTCTTTCAAAAATAATTAATGATCTTTAACTTTTTCATGACACACATAAGATCCTCTCACAGCACACCTATGTGCTGTGCTACACTGGTTGAAAATCACTGATATAGAGGAATAGCAAAAAATACAGTTCCAACCAAAAAGGATTTAAATCGTGAATGATCAAAGTCATGGACTGCTCTTCTCAGACTTCCTGGAGCTGTGTCCTAGCTCTTCCATTACTTATTGGTGTTATCAACCCCTGTAAGTCTGTTTCCTTGTCTATCATATGAGAGTGATAAATAAGTTACCTCACTCATAGGCAGTTTGCGAAGATTAAGTTGGATGCCTTAGGTGAAGTATTTAACACAGTGCCTAACACATAGAAAGCTCTCAATATATACTTGCTGCTAGCATTGTTGTTATTCAGATAAAAGAAAGATGGCTCAGCACCCCGTAGCATAGTGGGTATAGCACCGGTCACATGCACCAAGGCTGGTGGGTTCAAACGCAGCCTGGGCCAGCTAAACAACAATGACAATTGCAACAACAACAAAAAAAATAGCTGGGCGCTGTGGCAGGCACCTGTAGTCCCAGCTACTCGGGAGGCTGAGGCAAGAGAATTGCTTAAGCCCAAGAGCTTGAGGTTGCTGTGAGCTGTGATGACCTGGCACTCCACCATGAGGGCGACATAGTAAGACTCTGTCTCAAAAAAAAAAGGAAGATAATGTCTAGTTGTGAGATAATCTAGACCATAGGATATAAAGACATTTATATAACAAAAGAATTCTCACTCCCACCCCCTTCCCAAGTGAGTGTGAGAATAATGACCCAATACACGGAAGCCTAAAGTGATTGCGAGAGAATGAAGTAGAGGATTAAGACTGAAGGCCACAAAAAGGCCAGGGAACATCAGAGGTAATCTGTCATGGAGTCAGACTGCCATGAGTTGCATTTCCAGTTTCACCATAATGACCAGCTTAGCCACAATCCTGGCAAATCATCACTCTCGCTTGCTACCGAAAAGAACTTCCTCACTGTGGTTAACTTCCTCACTCCAGGCAGGTCTGGAGTTGGGCTGCTTAGGTTCAGCACCAAGCTCCTCTCCACTTACTGCTTTGTCTTTGGAAAGTTGCTTCCCTTCTCTCTGCCCTTCTCCCTGTAAAATAGCGATGGTAATGGAAACTGTCTTGTAAAAGAGATGGAAGGTTTAAATTAAATGATATGTCAGGCTTAGAACGCTGTCTGGCATGCAGGATGCATTCTAGCACTTCACATACACTGATGTTCTGTCTTGCAGCGTTATGGTGGAGAAGAGTCTATTTTAAGTGCCCTGCGTGTTGCTTATACACACAGGATCTCAACAGCTAGCAGGTATTTATCAGAGGAGTTAGTGTGTTAGCATCGGATCTGTTCTGTGAGATAAATTATGGTGGCACAAGATGAAACCAGGGTCATTGACTTAAGGGCAGAAAAGGCACAGAATTATAGTGACGAAAGAGAACTCCTGAGAATGAAGAAGACAAAGCAACAAGCCATCGAGACTTGGCAAGGAGGATCTGCAGTAGTCTGTCTCAAGGCTACGGGTACAGTCTGGCCAGGCAGGGTTCTTAGAAGGTCCTGCATACACCTGCTTGCTTTCCTTTTGGAAAATTTAATTTTTTCTGACAAGTCTGCTGCTTTCATTTCTATTTTTATTTCTCCGTATGTGATTTGTCTCTTATCTCTGGCTGCTTATAAATTGTTCTCTTTTATACCCTGCTTTTTAGCAGTTTGCTTATAATGCGCCTTAGGTGTGTTTTTTCTTTGGGGTTGTTCTCCTAGGGGGTTATTGAGCTGCTTAGATCTATGGTTTTACAGTTTTCATCAAATTTGGGGATTCTTCAGCCATTATTTTCCCCCATGCCTTCTCCTGGTGTTCTGCCCTACAAATTGTAGTGCCCAACCCCTGCCCCTGAGCTTTGACCGCTGACTTCTCCACACAGAGAAACCACCAGGCTGTGTTTGGGGCTCTCCCCGTACTGCAGGCTGGGAAGATCCTGAAGGAAACTGCTTCAGGCAGCAAGCTGGGAGCTGTCTTCATTCATTCCCCTTTTCTATGGACCACAGTCCTACGCTACCTGTCGTCCAGGGTATACAAACTGTCATTTCATATATTCTATCCAATTTTCTAATTAAAGCAGAAGGGTAATTCTGGTCCCTATTACTCCATTATGGTCACAAGCAGAACATATTTAAAACAGCATCTAAAACCCAATGTGCAGGGGTGTCCTCCAAGGTTTCTGCATATTCCAGTTATCTGTAGCTCTAAATGGGCGTTCACTGGCATTATGTTGGGGATGTTCACATTTCTTGTGTAGAATGAAGTAGAGAAAACCAGGAGTCTGAACAATCAACTGAAAAGTTCAATTCGGTCTGTGGTGGACTAGTAACCACCACCTCACTTCCACGTTTTAGAATTTCCTCTTAAAATTGTCTGAGTTCAGGAGTTCGAGATCAGCCTGAGCAAGAACAAGACCCAATGTGTAAAAAAAAATAGCCAGGTGTTACACCGTAGTCCCAGCTACTTCAGAGGCTGAGGCAAGAGAATTGCTTGAGCTCAGGAGTTTGAGGTTGCTGTGAGCTGTGACACCACAACACTCTACCAAAGGCAACAGAGTGAGACTGTCTCAAAAAAAAAGAAAGAAAAAAATAGAATTTCCTCTTAAAAATGCCATTAATGGAAGAGACTAGTCATGGCAGTTGCTGATGAGCTTACTAAACTCAGACTGAAATGTCAGGTTGGTAGAGTAAACCCTGATATCTTGACAAATGAAGAAATGGGTACCTGGTGATAACTTTTAAGCAATAATATCCTCCCCTCCACTTAGTACCACCGCTTCAACTTTCCTCCTGATCACTCAGCAAGCATCAAGGAAAGAGTAGAATGATCTTCATCCAAAAACATGAAGTGAGCTGCCATTGAGATGATACCATGGACTTTTACAGGCTACTATAGAAAACTTTATTGTGCCAGAAAAGACACAGACAATAGAAGGAACACATGTTTATTCCCATTATAACACAGGACCAGGGACCTAAGTGCACCAACAATAACAAACCCTTCTGTTGATGAGGTCATGACTTAATTTAAATAGCCTATCTCAGAGTTACTTTATTCATAAAGGTTGAACAATTTTAGCCTTCTAATATATCCATGTTTCACGAATAGAGGTCTGTTGATACCTGGCATATTAGAGTAAAGGCTAAACTGCTGTAACAAAAAGACTCAACAAGGGCCACACTTGTGACTCAGTGGGTAGGGTGCCGGCGCCATGTACCAAGGGTTCTAACCCAGCCCCCCACCAAACTGCAACAAAAAATAGCTAGGCATTGTGGCAGGTGGCTGTAGTCCCAGCTACACCAGAGTTTGAGGCCAGAGAATCACCTAAGCCCAGGAGTTGGAGGTTGCTGTGAGCTGTGACGCCACAGCATCCTACCGAGGGCAATAAAGTGAGACTCTGTCTCAAAAAAAAAAAGACCCAACAATACAGTGACCAGGCTCAGGAGGCAGGTTTGTCCCAACAGGTGATTGCTTAACCCAGGTAACCCCGTGCATTTCATTACTCCACCATCCTCCTTACCTATATTGTCAAAGTTGGATTATTCCCACTCCAAGGCAAGCAGTTTCCCTCAAGTGAGGCAGAAGGTGACACACCTCTTCTGTTCACATTCCCTAGGGTAAAACGTAATTACATGGCTACACCTCACTACAAGGGAGTTTAGGAAGGGTGGGCTCCAGCCAAGCAGCCTGTACCCAGCTAAAACTATTAAGGGGTGGGGGGAATACCAAGGGCCGTGCCCAGCCAGGGAAGACGATCATTGTCTCCTTAAATCTACATTACACAGGTATAATTTACAACACTGACCATATATAAAGACACATGCATATGGACCAAAAGAATTCCTGCACTTTCTAGAAATGTACATTAGGCCAGGCACCGTGGCTCACACCTATAATTCTGCCACTCAGGGAGGCTGAGGTGGGTGGATTCCTTGAGCTCAGGAGCTCAGATTAGCTTAGCAAAGATTGAGACCCCCATCTCTACTAAAAAATAGAAAAGCTAGCCAGGTGTTATGGCGGGCACCTGTAAACCCAGCTACTCAGGAGGCTGAGACAGGTGGATCGCTTGAGCCTAAGAGACTTAGGTTGCAGTGAGCTATGACGATGCCACGGCTCTCTACCCAAGGCAACAGAGTCGACTCTTGTCACTGCTGTGACAACTGAAGACCATCATCACTAACTCAATGAATGGCCTGATGCACTGCCAGAGGCAATATGCTCTCACATGAGACCTTTTGTGGGATTTATATACTGTATAAACATGCTTGAAGACTTTTTTTTTTTTTAGACAGTCTCACTGTGTCACCTTGGATAGAGTGCTGTGGTGTCATCATATTTCACAGCAACTTCAGTCTCTCTGTCATCATAGCTCACGGCAATTTGAGTCTCTCTGGCTCAAGAGATCCTCTTGCACCAGCTTCCCAAGTAGCTGGGACTACAGGCATCTACCACGATGTCCAGCTAATTTTTCTATTTTAATTTTATTTTTTTCTTTTTATTTATTTATTTATTTTTTAAAGACAGAGTCTCAGTTTGTTACCTTCGGTAGAGCACTGTGGCATCACAGTTCACAGCAACCTCCAACACCTGGGCTTAGGCAATTCTCTTGACTCAGCCTCCCAAGTAGCTGGGACTACAGGCACCCACCAAAACGCCTGGCTATTTTTTTATTGTTGCAGTTGGGCCAGGGCCAGGTTTAAACCCGCCAGCCTTGGTATATGGGGCCGGCACCCTACTCACTGAGCCACAGGCGCCGCCCTATTTTTTATTTTTTTATTGTTGGGGATTCGTTGAGGGTACACAGAACCAGGTTACATTGATTGCTTTTGTTAGATAAGACCCTCTTATATTTGTGCCCCACCCCCAAAAGGCAATTTTTCTATTTTTAATAGAGATGGGGGTCTCACTCTTGCTCAGGCTGGTCTCAAACGCCTTACTTCAAGCAATCCACCCACCTTAGCCTCCCAGAGTGCTAGGATTACAGGTGTGAGCCACTGTAACCAGCCCTTGAAGAGTATTTATTGCTGCAGGTTGTTGATAGGTCAAGAATTGGGAGACATTACTAGATTCTTATGAGAATAAGAGGAAAAGCATCACAGAGTAATCCAATGTATTTATTATAAACATATTACTATTTCAAGTATTTTCTATCTGTGATACCGTTAAACCTTGTGGAAATCCAATCTAATAGAAGAATGCCTGATGCACCATTTCTCGGGGCAAGGTTACTTAGAACAGTTTCAAACACTACTGCTTAAAAGTTTGAATTTTTTTTTTTTCCCCTGTGCTGTTTTAGGGTGGGATCTGGAGCTTATGAACAAGTTGTGATCAAACGCTAGAAGTCAAGCTGGCGAACTGAAGTTGCTCTGTCAATTTAAGATGTGAGTGATTGACATGTCAAGGCATTGTGATTCAAGCACTTTAACAGAAAATGAACCTATGTAAAAAATGAAGTTCAAGCTTTGCGCAGTGGCAATATCGTAGCCAGTGAGGTTTATCTGAGGCACACTTACTGCTGATTAAAAATGAAGTTCATCTATCAAGAGGAAAACCAATGCTGATTTCCTCTGTGAAAGTGCCCACCACTATCCTTCCCGCCCACCAAAAGGGAACATCTGAAAGGTAGTTTCAAGGCACTGTGCTGGTGCGTGCCTTGGAATACGTGGCTTCCAGAATCACTGCACATGATAATGAAAAGCCTTCTTTTCTTTTTTATCGCTCCAGTGGGGTAAACAGCATTATGCATAATGGAGTATATATTTAGTATTCAAGTGTAAAGTCTGTGATAAAGGTGCTCAACAGATTTGGGCTCTGTGGGTTTTTTTAAAATTTAATGTTGTGAGCGATAATAAGGGAATATAATTTAAATCCAATAAATTCTGTCTAGAATTTCCTATTCAAGAAATCTTCTATATTATACTGCCTACAGTATTATAATAAGTTTATTGACTCTTTGGTATAGTAATCAATATGAAGTATGGGTGTTCATGCTTTGAAGAATGTTAGGCTACAATTTAAACATGTAAAATGCTTAATAGTTCTACATGTATTGGTCATAAATCCAATGACAGGTGTGTTTAAGTCTGAGATACATGAATGGATGTAATGCCATTATTATGCAATATATATTGTCACTTGTTAATATTAGATGAGCTGTAGCACCCCCCTTATCACTGCATGAAGAATTCAAAATAAGTTTAATATTCAATATGTTAGGGCACCATAAGGCACCCTAACAGAAGAGCTATTTTAATTCATTGAATATCAGATCTGCTGGTTTTAGGAGTCAAAATTTAGAACAAGAGGAAAATTGTTATATGATCAGAAACAGGCCTTTTCTATGTAAATTTAGACTTGTCTGAAACTAAGTGATTCTGACATGGTAGTGGACAGCAGACAGGACAGCTGCTCAGGGTTACTGATGAGACTGGTGGTTTTCTATTTTAGCACCCCATGATCAGATACTATGTTCTCTTTATCAGAAGTTATTTGTTTTGGCTTGGCACCTGTAGCACAGTAGTTATGACACTGGCCACATACACTGAGGCAGGCGGATTTGAAACTGGCCTGGGCCTGTTAAACAATGACAACTGCAACAACAAAAATAGCTGGGTGTTGTGGTGGGCGCCTGTAGTCCCAGCTACTTGGGAGGCTGAGGCAAGAGAATTGCTGACCCCCAAGAGTTAGAGGTTGCTGTGAGCTGTGATGCCCCAGCACTCTACCGAGGGCAACATAGTAAGACTCTGTCTCAAAAAAAAAAAAAGTTATTTGTTTTGAGTCAAGAACAGAATATAACATCTATCAAATACAGCTTTTCAAATAAGAATATCTGGTATGGATCCCTTTAACAGCACGTCAGATAAACCTTAGAGTTTTTCTGGTCTTACATAACAGTTTCCATGTGGAAAGTTCTAAATTTTCTAGAAATCACTCAATGAAGAAAACATGTATCTTATGTAGAACCAGAAATTCCCCAGTTTATGCTTCCAAAATCATGCCCCCAAAAGATAATATGTCAGAATAGAATTACTGTGGTCTAGGAATTTTCACATTGACAAAAGAGGGGAGAAATTATTATATTATTTTAATATCCAAATGTAGAGGTTTGGAAAAATTTCAAAAGTTAATGTTAGGACTTTTATTTTTTTAAGTAGTTTAAGGATCAGGTATTCTACATTAATCCAATACAGTTTTAACAAATAGATTCTAAAAATTTTTTAAAGATGACACTACTATTGCATAATATTTTGAATATTGAGAGAAAGGGCTTTCTGAATTCTAAGTTATACTTTTTATTTTTTAAGATTTATTTTTAAGAAAAAAGCATTGACCTCTTAAATGGTAAAGATTTGCTGTCTGTTCACATGAACAGATCCGTTCATTATACATTATGGAAAAAAATCAAAGAGTTTTTATAGAGCCATTATGAAGATAATATGTCGAGAGAGATTATGACATTTTTTTAAACCTATTTTTCTATGTTCAAAGTATTATTTCTAGGCTATATTTTTTATTAGTGCTTCTGCACATGATTTGCAGTTTTAAAAATGAATGAACTAGATTGTAAGTGGAGTTCAGTTAAGATCCTCATCACACACATTACGTGGTGCTGTAATCAGGGCAGTGCCCTGTCTTACTCATCCTGCCCCTTGGCCCTGTACCTTTATATTAATATAAGACTGGTTCTTCATATTTAAAATGGTACAGAATTTTTTTAAATGTGGAGAGATTTTGAAAAGCATAAAAATCATGCCTTTATAGTTTTAGCAGCAGCCACCAGATATATCTCGATTTATGTAGTAGTAAATACAGCAAGTATTTGAGTAAATACAATCATGGATTAGGAAGGAAAAAGAGCTCTTAGCTATATGCTCTGTAGTCAGTGAAAGTCTGGGTTCATTTTCTTCTGTGTTCCACTGGCATACTTTGCATTCAAATTTTAGTACAGCCCTTTGAAAATAATCACTAAGAGTTGCCTGAGTATCCGCCTTACTTTCTAGGATTCCTTTTCCTAGAGCGTGTATTGTTAATATCTTAACCACGTACCTATTTAAGAAAATCTGCTTATTAAATAAAATCCACTTTGGATCCTGAGTTTAGAAAATTGGATTGGAAAAATTAGATTCTTATGCAATGATTTTTAAACATTAAAGTCATTTCAGATTACCCAGCCTTAGAAAATTAGTAGATGTAATACTTCTTTTCATTCTCTCTAGAGGAAAAGACTTATGTTATTTTAAAGCTCTGTAATTATAATGAGATAAAGAAGAGTCTTAAATACTTCATTTGGGAGAATGCACAGGCTAGCCAGGAGACCCACTGCCTGTGGCCTGAGCTGGTGACTGAGACCAGACAAGATGTGAAGGATCTAAAGTGCAGAGAAGGCCATCAGCTTACACTTTAATGGTTGACGCCTCTTCAGGGGGGGTTTGAAGGCTTCTGTATACAAACAACTAATGTGGGTTAATACTGGTGATCTCAAAAAGTCTTGGCCAAGAATCCTGAATGCCATTATCTCAGTCCAGCATTAGATTAACAATCCAGAATAATATCAGAATACTGTCCAGACTGGACTCTTTTGAATATCTTTTTTGTGCAAAAGTCTGCACCACAGAGGTTGACCACTTAGTCCATTTGTTCGGTAGAAGGAAAAAACAATCTTCACCTAGCCTCCAGTCAGAACGTATGCCAATTCGGAGAGCAGTAGGTTTTAATAAATTAAAACATGCAGAGGTGATTTTAGACTTTCGGTTTTCCATGCTAAGTAGACCACTTTGCAAGCCCAAGTGGACAGCATTATCAAATACTTCACTGAAGTACACACTTTCAAGTATTAGGCTTCCAGTATATATAACAGTGCTCCGAGAGACAGACTGGGCTCAGGTGAGAGGGTTGCATTTTATTCTCTTAACAGGGCTTTAACTTGGTCAGCTCTCCAAGATGGTACGTCATGTGAATATAATCAAGTACTGTGTTATACCACTACTCATACGTTGGCTTAGGTACTATGCATAATATCAATAGTTGAAATGTTAAAGAATATGAAGTCTAAAATACTACATAAAGGATGTAATATACCTATGTTAAGCCTATTTTAAGACTGCTCTGAAAATAAAGGCCTTATTCCCTTATATATGCGATTCTCATAATGTATACACAGTATATTTTAAATGTTCATGTGGGTAGTCTGTGTGTACTCCCCATATGACAAAATTGACAAAAATTTTAATTTACACAATGTATTCTGCATTTATCAAATGTTTATCATATGTGTATAGCAGAATTCTCTTGCTAATATTCATTGACCAAGTCCCATGCAAGGGAAGACATTTTGAGTATATTCAGTTGTCTTTTTGAAATACATCTTATGTGGGGATCATATTCCTCTCATGTATTTGGTATTTCGGAAGTTGACATAGTGTGTGGGTAACCATGCAAATGTTTATGCAAAATGTTATTGAAGTGATTCCATCAGTATTTTGTTGTAATACTTGGAGAATGACCTTCATATTTATATTATATATTACATTTGTTTCAACTCTATAGTGATAAAGCCAGGAAATGTTTCCTTTTTTTTTTTTTATAAAAATTAATTTTTTATTTGTAAAGTGTTTGTAATAATGTAAAGGTCTTATATACATTCAATAAAGATTATATCTTGAAAGTCTGTATGTTGTTTATATTTTCAATTATCAGTTAAGACTGTCAGAAAATTGTGCCAAGGTAAGAAAACAAGTGAGAAGAACAACCTAACTTTCCCCTGAATAACATAACTTTATTACCAGGTGGTATAAGACAGACTTGAACACCTCCAAAGTCAGATGTGTCTTTGAACCTTTAGGCAGCCCATGGCATAGGCTTGGGGGTGAGACAAACCTGAGTCTGAGTACAAACTCCCCTCTGAACCTGCTTTCTAACCTAGGATGGAGATAAGACCACCAATTCTGCTGGATTGCAAAGAGCACTAATCTATTAATGTTAAGGGTATGCCACCCCCAAGGCACTCAGGGTTTTATTGAGCCAAAACCTGCCTTTGTGAAGCATCTACATACTTATGTTACTTCTAGTGTTGGACACGCAGTTGGTTATTCAACGTGCCACTATCACAGCTTGATTGTTACTTAACAAATGATAGTCAGTGTCACTCCTACTCTTGATCAGACTAAGACACTAGATTGTGTCTCCCTTTAACTAGAATGTCCTCAGGGAGGACAAGCAACGGCTTTGCTGATAGTAAAAGAATAATATCAGTTTATGGCTCAGCACCTGTAGCTCAAGTGGCTAAGGTGCCAGCCATATACACCAGAGCTGGCAGGTTCAAATCCAGCCCGGGCCTGCCAAACAATGACAACTACAACCAATAAATAGCCAGGCGTTGTGGCAGGTGCCTGTAGTCCCAGCTACTCCAGAGGCTGAGGCAAGAGAATCACTTAAGCCCAAGAATTGGAGGTTGCTGTGAGCTGTGATGTCACGGCACTCTACCCAGGGCAACAGCTTAAGGCTCTGTCTCAAAAAAATAATAATAATATCAATTTAAAGCTAATAGAGAACTATGATTTAGTATGAGTGTGAACACACATCTTTCTTTGCAGATTATCAGGGCCTCCCTGGACAGTGCAGATTATAAAAGGTTGTATAATGACTGGGTTTATTGTCAGAGGAAGCAGAGTATGGACACTCTAGGGGAAACCTCCAGGCCCCTCCCCAGTCCATAGAATCATACAGGATCCCCCAGGATAACTTTTTGTACCAGGTCACAGTAGAACCTGGCAGGACCTCTGATCTGAGCCCTCAGACCTTGCCCACATCTCCTGCATGGAATTCTCAGCGCAGCCTTCTTGTTTTGTCTCAG